AATGAAAGAGGCGATGCTGGTTCTATTCACCTTTTGAGCCAGGCGCTCTTGGAACCCCCGGTGCAGTGGAGTGGATCCCGGAGCCCGGGGCTGGTGGTGGGGGGGGACCGAGTCTGCCGAGGTACCTTCAGTGGCTTCCACAGAGAAGAGAAGAAACTTCAAGGCCAGGGGAGTCCATTCTAGGGCTTTTATCATGCAGGCAAAAGGTGACTGGACTTCTCTCTCTCTCTCTCATGTTTTTTAAAAAATAAACCTTTACTACAGTCAGTTATTAGCGTGATTCTGAAATTCAGATCTGATCTAGTTGCAAATAGAGCCACTTTATGCATAAGAGTTTATGCAAAACACAGTCATACCTAGACAGACTTTACCCTTTCCCGAGCGCCTTAGTCATAGGAGTTAGATGTAAAAATTAGATAAATTCTCAGTACAATCAGGTCCCCTCTCTTTTCTCTACTTATTTGAAAGAGAGTATTGCTGTCAGAAGGGCTGCAGAAATGAAAGCCAATGGAAGTGTAATTAGATAGAAAGGTTTAGAGGACCCAAGGAGGTCTGGACCAAAGACTGGAATTGCTTCCTGCTGCCTGTCTCGAGGCTATGAGGTCTTGGAAACACAACACTGGAATGTGGTACAGGCTGTCATCCAAAGTGATGGGGAGCAGATTTTCCCTGGGTCTCCAGGCTACTCCGTCCTTTCACAAATGAGTCTCCTACACAGTGTCCTTCCCATGTGTCTCTGCTCGGGTTGCCACACAATCTTAAGAGCATGGGAGGTGCTTTTGCATTGAGAGTCCTACCAAGTCCAAGAGTGGGGGGTGAGGGCACAGTTTCCAGAATGAGACCCATTGGGTTTGAATCCTTTCTTTGCCACTTATTAGATGCATGGGCAATGCTGGGCAAATTATATAACTTGAGTCTCCTCAATGATAAAATAGGGTTAGCAAAAGGAGCGTTGTGAAGACTAGATGAGGAAATGTGTCTGGAATGAGGCACCTGGCACAAAGGAGGTATCACCTCTGCTCGTCAAAGCACTTAGCTCCCCGCTCAGGGCTGTTATTATCCCCTAACCTTTGTTCAGTTTTGTCTGATACTCTCCCTCAAGATGCTGCGTGATCAGCATTCCACTCACACATGGTGAATATGAATTAACATGAACTTAGGCTTGAGAATTTCAAGACGTCCCTTTTTTTTTCAGATCACTGGAGACACTTGGAGGTTTTAGAGAAATGCGGCATCCTGAACGAATTCAGAATCCACAATATGTAGTTATTGGTCTTGATCGCATTAGGAAGAAGGTTCTGGCACTCACATGCATTCTTTCAGGGCCCTGTGGCTTGTCTTGCAAACCACCTCTTCCCTTGCACAACCAAACAGGACTCAGGGGACTGGGGCTTCGTGCTTCTCTTAGAGAGATCACTTTATTCCCTTTTGATATTTTTAGTGGGCCTGTGCTCACAGGCAACAACTATTTGGGTTCCTGGCGTGTTCATTTTTGCTTTATTCATCCCACACAGCTGTTGAGCGCCACCTCTGGGAAAGGCAGGGTGCCGCGCACGGCGGGGAGAAGAAAATGCCAACTGGAGGTGCCCACTCCCTCCTGCACCCTCGGTCTCCATCACTGCCTCGGCTGCACTTGGGAACCAGCATGTAGGACTCGATGCATCTTCCCTTTACTCCGTACCGCCTCTTCCCTCAAGGCTTCCCGGCTGCCGGAAAGACGACGATTCCCCAAAGCAGCGTGCTGAACTCTTTTCCAAACCCAGGACGTAGGGTCTCAAGTCTGGTGGCCACACTCACTGGCTGTTGGCTGAGCCTCATTGTCAGGGCCCTTTGTGTGTCTCTCTGGTGAGCTGCAGCCAGTGCCCGCCCACCAGCCTTTCTGCAGGGCTGCGGGGATCTGGGCTTGGGTTTGTTTGCTTATTTGTTTCTTTACTGGCAGTTTTTTCTGAGAAGACGTTGGCCCACTCTTCTTTACTGACTTGCCCAAGCAAGTCTCTCCCCCCAGAACGTTCTGCTCCTCTGACTTCCCTGCCCTCATCTGTCTGTTAACGTGACTTCCTAGCAGGTTCAGTTCAAGTGCTTCTGCGAGAAGCCTTTTGAGCACAGCGCGCGCGACCTGTGCCAGAAACATTTCTTGACCTTGAGCTCCCTCGAGTCTGCGTGGCCCGAATGAGTCCAGGTTCAGGACTCTTTAGGGTCCGTGTCGGGGTTACCTGAGTGCCAGCTGCACCCCCCCTTCCCCTTTCGGGAAGCCCCCAAAGTGCAAGGAGCATTCTGTATCTATCTCACAGAGCCTCCAGCAAAGATTTCATCAGCTGGGTGACCGTAGGCGACCGACTTTCCCTCTTCGTCTGTGAACCCAGCCTTGTTGATGAATTCATCTGACAACCTGGCTCAGGGCTCCCCACACTTAGCACTGGGGGTTTTCACTTTCCTTGCTCTCACTTTGTGCTTCTTTGATGTTCAACGTAGATTTCCTAAATGAATGAGTTAATTAATAAATACGTAAACCAGATGGTTTTCTATTCTGAAGTGCTCACAGCCCCGTTGATGTTTATCTTCATTGATGCCGAGAACGTGATTACTACGTGGAAGACTGTCACTGTGGGCGAATTCTTCTATCTCTCCCTCCTGGGCATTGGTTAGGGTTTAGGTGGGGCAAAAGAGTAATTCAACATATGTAAACACTGGCTGTGATTCTTTTCAACTCTTGCAAACCTGATAGTAGAAAAAGGCTATTACATTGTTGTTTTAATTTGCATTTCTCTGATTACTGGTGATGTGAAGCACTGGTGAAAAAGAAACAGAAATGAGTGTTTTAAACTACTTGGAAGCTGAGGGGTACTTCTGTGAGAAGCCAGGCACAGGACTTAGAATGGCCAGGCATGCAGGCTGATTCACTCAAATTCCCAGCACTTTCCAGGTGGTGAGGTCACACAGAATGCAGTAGACCAATTGTGTGGCCAGAAGAGACTGGTGTTTCAGCAAAGGCAGCTCCCTGGCAAGCCCCAGGGACACTTACCTGGTCCTCTGACCTGTCTGTGTTGTGCTTTGTTTCTGTCAGCAGCCACAGCCCTCCAGAAACTTCCCTCCTTGGAAATCTTTCTCCTGGTCCCTGGCCAATGGCCACATTCCTGGGGCCATCTTACCTCCACTCACCGGGAGAACCCTTGAGCCTGTCTCTCCTGCCCAGAGTCGGGACTTGACTCTTCAAGATCCAGGGAGTGAGTGACCACCTTCCCTCAGTCCAAGGGTCACCTTTTAGGTTCTCACTCCTATGTCAGGACTGACTTCTTCCCAAGATGCATGACAGTGAGAGCAAATACACTGTCCCCCTGACCAGACTGCCCCTGCTACCTGAGAAGTCTGGCCTTAGCTTTGGCCTTTTCCTGGAACAGCCTTCACAGTACAATGACCTGGGAGGATCCTGCCTTTGGATCTTTTGTAGAAGGTCAAAGTGGGCTTCAGCAACTGCTGTCTGGCCTTTCTGGGGGAGTCTTGCCTGCCTGAAGTGATGCCTGGCTTCCTACCCTCCCCCCCCCCCCCAGTGTCTGGTACCAGTCCCCTGTGAGCCAGTACTTGGAGAAGAAACTTACAAACATACTAACCAAGAGCCAGAAAATACATTTCAGAGACCATATAATCTAAACCCACTTTTAGGAAAGTTAGGAGAATGTGCCCACCACGAACAACCTTTTACATGATGACACATAGCAATTCGACCTTCCTGTTCTGGAACTGGATCTGGAACGGCCCACTGAAGTCTATTTTCCTAATATAAGGGAGCAGAGATGAATTCAAACTTCTTCATGTCTAGACAAATCAGTTCACTACAAAAGATGTTGGCTTTTCCCTGGCTTCTAATGATCAGCATTACACACATGCTGGTAGACAGATAGACAGAGATGGGTGTACACACACGTGTGTGTCTGTGAGGTTTCTTCCAGGTTCCACATTTCCATGTGCACCTCACTCTTCATTGTCATTTCTCGTGGTGATTCCGTCAGGCAGGAAGCAGCTAAGGTCAGCGTTGGAACTGGATTCAGGATGCCCCTGAGGAGGGTTCCCACCTGCCCAGCGCCAGACCTGCCCACACTTGAATAATGGGGACCGAGGTGCTATATGGCTTCAAGGATGGCTGTCAACCTGGAGCAGCCCCTGACCCTCTCTTCCAGGTGATCACCATGTAGCAAATCAATCAATAAACATTTTTTAAGTATCGTTAAGTACCAGGCACTGACTTGGCCTTGGCGAGAAATGGAAAAAGGAGATGGAACAATTGAAATTTACCTTTATTCATGTAGAAAGAGAGCTGCCAGAATTTAATCAATTTCATGGAAGGCAGTAAATTGTGCACCTTAAACACCTTTCTAAGACAAGCATCATGACTTCTGATAACTAGCTGAGTGAGGCACTTCACCCCAATAATTAACTGCCTGGGCTGAAATTCTGGCTGTGCCACTTACTAGCTGAGTGGCCTTGGCCGCGTTAATGCCACTGGGTTTCGGTTCCACCTCGGTAGAATGTGGTGAGAGGAGCTACTTCAGCCTCTGTAGGGCTGCTGTGAGGATCCAAGGATATTATTCACATAGAGCACTTCAAGTGGTCCCTGAATGTGAGTTACAATTACCATTAACCTCCCTTCTGGCTGTGGACGTCCAGGTCCTTGGCAACCCTGACTCGGAGCTTAAATGGAGAGGGAGGCAGGGAAGGCCGTGGATGGGCAGAAGAAGAGAGCTATGTGATGCCAGAGATCAAGGCGCTTTCGGGCCAGCTCTGCCTTGGAGTTTGTCTTTCTTTGTTGTGAAAATGTTCAAACACACAAAACAGTGGAGAGAAATGTGCAACGGACATTTACCAACCCATTTCCTGGACATGACAGTGGTTAACATTTTGCCATATTTACCTGACCTATTTTTTTTGAATTTTACTGAAGTATTTTAAAATGAATTGGAAATATTACATTTCACTCCTAAATTCTTCACTGTGTTTCTTTAAAGGACATTTTCTTCCAGAACAACCATATCATTGTCTCGCCTAACAAATTAACCGAACACCCAGGCATCTTGGAGGGTTTCAAATGAACCTTTTGATTTCAAGATCGACTATGCTGGGGAGGAGACCACTTTGAGGACAAGATACGAGTGACTGTGTGTAGGAAAGAGTGTTCCAGGGGTTGGGATCGGGAGGGGCGTGTGTTAGCCAGTGTCCCTCTTGTCCTGCTGGAAAAACATAACCTGGTCTGAGGTCCTTTGTGTGAATGTGCTCATTCCAATTTGCTTCTTTTGAAAGGAGGAAAACATGTTTTTGAAGGCTGCTTGACAGACAGGGAAGATATTAATAAATGACATGCAAATTTCTTAATTTCGCTTTGGCTGGATATGTGATTGCTACTTCTGAAATACAGGCTGGTGATGGAACTTCTTTTTTAAAAAAGATTTCTTGAGCTCTGACCGTGTGTGTGTTGGGTTGTCCAGCTCAGCTCGGCCAGGGGCAGGATCATTCTGACCTGAGTGGAGGTAAATAAGGACACATTCGAATGAAAACTGGTCCTAAAGAAGAAGTGGAGAGCTTAATTTTGAGACTGTCTCTTGGGTGGAGATACCACAAAGGTTTGACTGAAAAGCTGGAAAGTTCTTTTTATAGCTCTGTTGCCTGCCATGAGGAAGGCGACTTCATTGATTGGCCTTTTGCACTTAGCTCCTGTTTCTCCTTCAAGTCCACGTGCAGTGGGATGGGAGCCACTCTCCACTGCCCCGGCTGGGGTGCCCCGGGCTTCCTGGTTCAAACCACTCTTCCCCCTTCTCCCAAGAAGAGGTCTGAGGCCCCTTCCCATCAGTGTATGAAATATACAGGGTCCCCTCTGGTCGAAGTGTCGGCCTGTGGTGTTGGCGTGGGGGCCCCGGTGCACAGTAGTTCAGGACATGAGCTCTGGATGGAGACTTCTTGGATGCAAAGCCTGCTTCCACCACGTCCTGCTGGTTCCCCTTCTCTCCAGGGCAGTGAGGAGCCAGCCTTCCATATATGCTGCTCTCTTATAGTTACATGTTTGGGAAGATATTTTCATTTGTTCTGGAAAAGATTATTCTTCCCCAAGAATGAGTGAATCACTTTCTTCTGTAAAGAAGAAACACTGCAACTACAGTTGAGGGTGAATCTTAACACAAGATGACCATGTGTTTCCTGCTGGGTGTTCTCATCTGCCTGGCTTATTTAACTTTAGTAGAAGGAACTCAGTTTTCATCTCCCCTTCTTTTAATAGACATGTTTTCTCTTGCCTGTGGAGTTTGCATACTTAGAATAAAACCCCACGGAATCTCAGGTTAAAGAGAGAAAGACGACTGGTTATGCAGAGGAGGGTTTTGGGATGATCTGGAGGTCATGACCAAGCATAAGCCAAATACAATTTGATTGGGTAAAGCTATTATTTAACAAACAACCCAGCACTTATAAATCCCACTACTGGATTTGTAAGTAATCCTGTACAGTAATCCGTAAATTTAAAATGATATCGCCAGCTATTAACAAGTCATCAGCTTTGAATAATCTGTTAAACAGTGTTTGTAGATGCCAATAATGACTTGGAAAAATGTGAATATTTAAGTTTAGGCCCAGCCTTTCTGACATTGTTCAGTAGTCTGCTGGTCTTGGGCAGGAATCTCCTCAAGTAAGAGGATGACGAGTGAGGCCAGGGCACAATTCTAGAAAGTTGCTTATGCAGATCATGAGAGTACAGGCTTGTCAAAAGATTGAGAATTGGGAGTCAGTTCTGAGAGGTCTAGCCCATGGTTTAAATCATTGGGAAAGGGAAATTTAAGTAGACTTGGGTAATATTCAGCATGAGGGAGAACAAGAGCACACAAAAGGGAAAAGGAATCCTTTTCTTTACTGAGCCATAAATGAAAGCTATGTACTCAAACGCGAGCCACATGGATGGACTGCCTTATTGGCAATGTCTGGTAATGGCTTCCTTAAGTACCATTGGACCGGAAGTAGGAGATGCACCTGTAATCTCATTCTTTCCTTCATTTAAGACCACGGGCATCATAGACCTTGGGTTTCTTGCCTTTGGTCAGATGCCATGTCACTGTAGCCACGGACTGTCTGTGAACCCAGTGGAAACTGTCTGGTAGGAGGGAGCCTGACTTACACACATGTATCAAAATTCCTTGCCAGCTCCCAGCCACTGTGGCAGATCCTGCTAACTATTCACCCAGCATCTAGGACTTCTTCAGACTTCCTGTCTTCGAGAGCTTTAATTTTATACGGGGTAGCAATACAGCTGACCAGCAACACTCCTCTTATTCTTCATCGCACCTGCCAGGATCCGCTTAGCACAGTGAGGCTAAGGAGATGTGGGAAGAAGTCCCTGGGAGTGCATCCTTTTTAAAGAAAAAGGCTGAGCTTTACCAAGAAAAAGCCTCTTTTACCCTTAGTTCCCCACCTCACCCCCAGTATGCAGATGTCAAAGGTAGAGGTGACAGTTGGCAAATGAGTAGGAAAGCCTGACCATGTAAAGTATAGAGTGAGGAGCAGAAGGACGGAAAGGGTCCGGTCACTGAGAGCATCACTGAGGCGCTGCACCTGCCGTGGACTGCCACCTCCGCACCTTGTTGTGGGAGAGAAATAAAGCTGATTTCTTTAAGCCACGTTAGCAGTGTTTTCTGTTCACTGTAGCCAAATGCGTTTGTAACTGATACTGATCCAAAGAAAAGTTCTTCCAGAAAACCTGAGCCAAAGTCACTTAGCAATTTATTAGCTGCTTTTTCTAGGAAACAGCCCATTTTTCAGCCCTAAAAATCCAACATAAAGGAAGATTTTACTGTTTCTTTTTGTTTTCCTTTTCAGACCAGGTGATTGCAGATATCAGTAAGCTTTCAAGTGTGAGGAGCAACCGTTCTGTGCTTTTGACACTGTATCACTTCATCCTTCTGTTGTCACTATCTTAATGAAAAAAAGCAAGGTGACTGCAAGATCTCTGCTTTGTTTCTTTACTTTCTCCATTGCTGCCAAAGCCCTTCTGTAAGGGGCACCCAGAATAAGGTCACATCCCTTTATACAGCATGACCTTGGCCACAGGTCAGACAGAGGAAAAGCATAAAGAAGACCATCAAACTTCTCCGTGTATGTTTCCATTGCCTCCGCAGATCCTTTACCGTTCACAAGGGAGGTGTGCTCATCCTGAGATGCTTGACAACCACCTAAGCTGCGCGCCAGAGAGACGGAGGTTTGTGACAAAGTCCACGATAACTAGACGGATTCGTTTCCCAGCATAAATTGGCCAGAGCTGGTCTTTTTCAACCCAAATAATTAAACCGTGTTGTCAGACTCCGGATGAGAACCAGAAAGTATACCAGAATGCTTCTATGGACATTTGATCAACTTTTCATCTTTATTGGCTATGAGAATAACCCCAGAGCAGGATGGGTGTCACCTGAAGATAGAGTGCTGTGTGTTGACTGTAAGTCTGAGGAAAGCCAAGGTCTGTCGACAGCGCCTGGGCTGTGTCTTGGCCATCTGTCAGTGGTGTCAGCTGTTACTCAAAGTGGCTCATCTGGGTCACAAGGGCTTAAGGACTAATGGTCATAGGACTGGCCAAGCAGGTTTTGCAGGTCCAGAAAAAGCAAAAATAAGTAAGTAAGTAAGTAAGTAAGTAAGTAAGTAAGTAAGTAAGTAAGTAAATAAAAGCCAAGAAATGTAAATCTTTAGTCCAAGGGGCCAAAGGCACGCCCAGGACATCCACAGGCTTTCACAAAGACTGGAGTGGAATTATGGAGGCAGCAGTGTTTCCAGAGCCTGGGAGCTGTTTCACAAGCAACTGTCGTTGAAGAATTCTGATGCATTTCAAGAAGCCCATTTTAAGCTCATCCCACCAGCACTTCAGATTTAAAGAGCCCCGCCTCGCTTGCTGGGGAACCCTTCCCGGGAGAAGACCAGCAGAGGATCTGAAAGTCTGCAGAGCCCTGATCCAGACCCACTGCCACCGCCTTGCTGCTCTGAGAGACTCTTGTCCTTGAAACCCTACCTGTCTACACTGGGCACATGATAAACCTGGAGTATTTTCCTGGAGCATTAATTTTACTTAATGATGAATAATCAAGAACATTTTTATGCTTAAAAAATAGGTTGTGGACTATAATGCAAAATTTGCATGAATTTTAAGGAGAAACATAAGTCTTCAAAGAAATCTGCATTGTTGGTGAGTTATGTCAGGGACTCAGCTCCACTGTCCTCTGGACCGGCAGGAATGCTCTGGTGGAAAAGCTTTGAACATGGTAAACGGGGGACCGTGCTTTATAGGATGCAGAAACCTGTACGGATGTAATCTTTGGATTAGCTTCTCCTCAAGGAGCGAGCCATGTGCTGTTTGTCTTTCTCTCCCTAAAAAATACAGAAGATAACAAGGAAAATAAGAGGAAAATCACTCAAGACCTCATCCTCTCTGAAGACAACCACAGGTGACATTTGGGTGGACAACTTTCAGGGTGCCCCCAATATACACGGCAGAGATGTGTGGATTTCATTTTGCATGAAGTGTGATGGTATTTGTCTGTGTGCTTCTACAATGGGCAGGAAACTTTTTAAGTTTTCAGACGAGTTGAACATTTCCAGATACCCTCTCACAGAATACCAATGCGAGTAGAGAAAGCCTTTCACATTTACCGAGATGTAATAAATACTATCTCTCGCTTTCTTTTTTAATCCACAGCAACAAGATGGGACTGTAGGTGCTCCATGCACGACTGGAGGATGTGTTTCCAATGCTGAAAGTTAACATGCCATCGTCTGCCAGGTCAGGACAGTGCACGGCGGGAAGGGGCTCTCTGGTCTTTCTGGTTGTGTGGCCTGGATGGCCAGCACATTACTCCTCAGCATCCTGCTGGGTTTCACTGTCACCAAAGGCCTCCCGTGGCCTGCAGTGGTGGGATGAGACCCCTCGGGGTGACCCTAGAGAGCCAAGCCCATCTGCCCTCGCTGACGCTTCCCGATGTGACACCCGCCTGCTGGGGTGGATGCGTGCCAAGAGCAGCCAACTGTATGAGGCCCAAGCGAGGGGAGTGGAGCAGGGAGGCAGAGGGGCCCTGCACGGAGGTGCTGATACAGCTGCTGCCCACATGGCCTGGGCGGCTCTGCTGGGAGACCCCACCTGGACCCAACTGCCCAGCCTGAGGGCATGGGCGGCTTTAAACAAAATCTTTGTTCTGAGAGTGACTTTACAAGGTGGTTTCCTAAACAGTGGCGGGGCTTCAGGTGGGGACAGTGGCCTCCAGCCTCTTTCCTCTGTGTTCTGTGGGTGCTGCTGGAGGGTGAAGGCTCAGGCTGCAGGCTCTGCCCTGACTTTCGATGCCTGCTAGAATGTTCTCCCCACACCCTGTCACTTCTCTCACACCCTCTCTCTCTGTCACACACACACAATGCCTTTCCTACCCTGAAATCCATGAGTGGGAATTTTAGGTGCCAGCTTTCCTTTGAGCTGGTAAAAAGGATGATCTCCTTAAAAGCAACCCATAATAGTGAGTCCTGGAGGAAAATGGGGAAACTAACTCCCAAGGCCTGGAAATGATGCAGTATGCATCAGGACCAAGATGTGGGCTTTTGCGTCATCCTGGAGAGGGCCGGAGTCATTCCATCTATAAGGTGAAAACCAGGGCCTCCGCCCTCACCTAACGCATCTGTGAAAAGGGGGAACCGCCTCAGAGGATAGGAAAGATCTGATGCATCAGTACCCTGAGCACTAACAGAGGGCCTGATCCACAGAAAGGGCTCGGTAGGTGGCGGCTGGCTAGAAAAATCTACCTAGGGCCAACTTTACCAAGCCCCAGCTCCAAGGAACTCGGCTGAATCTGGATGTAACCCTTGAAGCCTTGTCCTATGCCCCCACTATTCCCCAAACCTCCCTCCTGCTCCTGGCCACACCTGCATCCAGTCAGGGCCACACACTAGCATGACTCCACCCCCCAGCATTTTCTGTGTTGGTTTTGGCTCTCGCTGGCCTTCCAGCTCTCCAGCAGCTAAGGTTGATACTTGTCTGTCCTAGCACAGTCATTAGCCGACGACTCTGTATTGGGGGCAGTGGAGCTAACTGGCTAAGAACACAGGAATTACATTTAGACAGGAATAGATTTGAATTCCGACTCTGCCAATAGACGCCTATGCAACTGTATGCAAGGTTTTGTGACCTTTCTTGGATCTTAGTTTCCTGTACAGTAAAATGGGAGTAATACTTGCATATTACTCATAATAATAATTTATACTTATAATGCTTATAATAATTAAGTTAGCAATATTTGCAAATATTTGTAAAGCACATGATAGACAATATGAGGTATTATTCATCTTATCAATACTTGCAGTATTACTGTATTTAAATTAATTAAGTGCTGAAAATGAAACGTGACGGGACTGGTGGGTTTTGACCCACATAAAAGAAAGCCGGAGCTGGTTACCATGTGCACATGCTCAGGGTGCACCTTGGGCTCGTTCTCATTTTTAAGGTGGATACAGAGGAAGGAGAGGGAAACGGCCTCAACTCTGGCAAAGTGGGGACAAGTCCTCTGTGACTCGAAGGGACTCCCTGCTTTGCTCAAAGTGCCCCTTGTTGCCTGGTGGCAAGTTTTGTTCTCCAAGACCAGTGACTGACTCCTGTTCATGATGCTTTTGGGGAAAGACATTAGATCCATACAAGGTTAATTACTATTATGCAAAGAAATGAGCCCACACACCGTTCACAATCCTTTTGGGTGGCACACGTGTTCATTTCTCTTTCTTTTAAAAAAAATCATGCCTCTTTTTATTTATTTGATATCTTCTCTTGTCTTCTCCGCTCTGTTTCTGTAAAGAATGAAAATGCAGCCTCCACCATGGTGGATCATGTAACTCTGTATAAGCTCTTCCAAGGGTCTCCATTCCGTTCAGGCCCTAACAATAGCCCACGAAGCTGCAGGACCTGGCCTCTCACCCCTGGCTCACCTCCGACGCATGTATACAACAGAGATGCCTGGATTTCCTTTTACGTGACAGGTTCACATGAGACATCTTATAGAAGCTGCTTTCTTCACCCAATGCTGCACACATTTCTATGTCAAGGTACATAAATCTTTAACCCCGCTTCTAACAGCCTTTAGTGGGATAATGGTCTTCCACTGTATGGAGCCAGTCTCCACTGATAACATCTTTAGGCTGTTTCCAGCTCTTTGCTATTAGATGAGATTGTGTATATAAGCTACTCCTTGGGCACATCCCAGGCAGCTCTTGTCACCTATGGCGTTACCACTATGGAAATCTGTCATCATCATCATCTCCCTCCCCATGCCCAGCCCTGAAAACACTGTCTTAAAGGCTCCCCAAGCCCAGTTCTTAGTATCAACCAAATCGGGTCTATTTAGTCCATCTACCACATCTGAGGGAGGGCTTGTGTACTTATTTTTGATTTCCTAGAAAAAATCAGAATACTTTTATATTTTATCTGGCCTCAATTGTCTGTGCCTCTCCCTTACTCCATCCACTCCCTTTCTGATGACTGTAGGTCCCAGAGAATCATGCCTCTCCTGCTGGATACAGTCTTGATGAACCTGGGGTGGGGGTGGTAGGCGGACTAGTCATTAAAACTCAGGGTGAGAAACCGCCAGTCTCTACTTCCATTCTTCCTTCTGCGCTCCTGGCCCCACCAGCCTCCAGGTCGCAGGTCTGGAAGCTCCTGGGGTTGGTGCAAAAGCCTCTCACAGGACTGATCCATCTTCAGTGAGGGTACCAATGAACCTCCAGCAGGAGGTGTGTGTTATCTCAGTGGCCTTAAATATCCCCTTTCCTTTGTTTCAGGATACAGTGGGGAGCAAAGCTTTGACATAATAGACTTCAATGCCAGGTGGACGGACTTCTTTTTTTTTTTTAATTTCCTTTTATTTTGTTCCATCATTGAGCTTGTTAGGGTGACTTCTTTTTGCTAAACCCTGTGGCACTGGGTCCAAGCATGCCTCACTATTATTAACCTATTGGACAGCTGAGGGCGTAGAAGCACCCAGAAGCTACATGACCCGCCCAGGATCATGTGGCAGTGCCCCACAAGCCTGGGACTCAGGCTTCTGATGGCGGACCTGCCCTTGGCTCAGGAGGAGCTGCCAGCAGGCACCAGAGGCGGCTCATGTTACGTGACCAGGTCGCACGCTGAGGGTGGGCTGCCCTCCTCCTCCTTGGCTTAATCTCAAACAGCCGTGGAAGGAGGTGGCAAGGAACCCTGGTGGTCTTGTTTTAGGAGGTCTCTAGAGATCAGTGTTGACATCTTTCTTAGGTCTGTCATTGGCATGGGTGGATTAGGAGATCCCAGGCTGGGTAACTCAATAGTGCACCGTGGCCCTCCGCTGACAACACAGATACTGAAGGGCATCAGCTGTTGAGCCCCGAGTGATAAAGTTATAGGGAAAGAGGAGGCGGGGGCTGCCAGAGGGGAACTAACCCACTGAAAGTTTGCTCTGAGCCAGGCACTGTGCTGGCCCTTTCATGTGCACCTCTCCTCTGCAACCCCAGGTACCCAATCAGCCGACTCTTCCCCCTCCTTTGGGTTGAGGAAATAGGATGATTGAAACTGCTAAGTGGGAAGTAGCTATTATGCAATGGAGATAGACAGGCTTTTAATGCATTTGTGTCCCGAGTCCAAAGTTAAGCTCTTTCCTCGTTACCACATCGCCCATCAGAGGCACCCCAGGACAGCCTGAGTTCTGCAGTAAATCTCTTTGGAGTGAGCCACCTTTCTGCGAAGGAGTGCTGCTAAATCTCACACGGACTCATCAGCCCCACTTCCTTCCTTTCCCAGCTGCCATGTCATCTGAGGAGAGCAATGTCAAAACTTGGTGCTTTTCTTTGAAACTCTTAGTGAGTCTCCCTCCAGACTGCAGTTGGCTCAAGGGCATGATTTTGGCTGCAATCCCGCAGAGTTTCATTTTCACTTTTTTATTGAAAAATCGAAATCTGGGGAATTAGAACCTTTCCATATTGATTTTTCAGGGGCAAGTGAAAATTACATTCCGTACGGAACCAAGAAGGTGCCACCTTGAGTGGCGGCGGGGCTGACGTCGGAGTGGCGTGCAGAAAGGGGCACACGGATACAGTCTCTGTGTAATCTTTCAAAGTGTTGAAGCCACAACTCATTTTTGATCTGCATAAAATGATTTCTGAAATCAAAACTTTATTTTGTTTCTTCAGTTGAAAAGAAAATTGAAGATAGAGAGCTAAGTGGAAAGAGGTTTGGAAACTGAGTCTCTGATTTCTCCTTCCAGTACATCAGGGGTGGGGTTGAGTCCACGCTTGGCTCCTCACCTCCTCTAAGCCTGGTGCTGGGGACTGTGAAGACAGAGTTGTGCTTTATTCATTCACTTTGAGACTCGGACAGTTCTGAGCCCAGATCTTGTTCTGCCCTTTTGCAAGTTATTCAATGTCCTGAGCTGTGTTTTTTTTATCAGTGTGCATTAGGGATAGTACAGAAACTACCCATAAGGCTGCGGCGATGACTGACTGAATAAACATTTATTGACTGACAGTGAATAAACAAGACCCATGTAAAGCGTTTGGGTTTGATAAAATAGGTGTCTATTGTGTGCCATCACCACGTCACCTTTCTCAGCAGGGCCAGCCCCCTAAGAAGTTTGAAGTATCACAGAGCATTCAGGGCAGGTGGACCTATCTGAGGCTTGCACTGCCATTTTGTGTTTTATTTCCTTTTTCCTGTTCCATTAGGGCGAATGCGGAGGAAAACCTGCCACCCCGTACACGCAGGCTTCTCCTTGGGAAAGATGCTCTGTGAGTTAAGATTTGGAAGCAATTCCATATTCTTTTCTTTGCCTCCTCCCACCGCCCTATTTAGCACCTGTGAAATATCCTGTCTTTCCCTTTTTCGTATGCAGGCTAATTGTGAACATCAGCCAAAGCCCTGAAAGTGATTCTAGCTGGAAATGAGCAGGTCTCTGAAGCGGAAGAAGAGATGGACTCTGGAGAAGAGGGTGTCTGCAGCCGTGGGGGTGAAGGTGACCACCCCGGGGAGAGGGGCAGTGCCGAGCCAAACTTCAGACGCCTCTGGGGGATGCCGGGCACCCCATCGGCCTGGCATCCACAAATGTTTCAGCCAGATGTGCAGCCCTTGGAATGAGCAGTCAGCAACTGCTTTGAAGATAAAAAGCCCTGGGAGCCCACAGAGCGCCTCTGTTACTGGCGGGAGTGCGCCTTCTCCGCACCAGCACTGCTCACGGCTCTGCTCCAGCTGGTGAAAGGCAAACCCAGCCGGAAATGCCAAGTGCAAGGAAGGGGAGCAAGTGAAATGCTGGGGGTGGGAGAAGGGAAGGGGTGGGTGCCTGTGCTTTGAAATTCTGTCCCGGAAAGGCCTCTTCAGTGGATCCCCTTCCAACCTGCCCCAGTACAACAACTGGACGTGGCATGTGACAGGCGCTGCCGACAGGTCACATTTCACACACGCAGCTGTAATATCTGGCACGCAGGTGTTTGGTTCTGTGTTTGCCAGCTGCTCTGCAGCGCCCTGCTTTTCTGGATGGGATGGGGGAGGGGGAACCTCACACTTGTTGCTGCCAAAAGTGAGGAGGGGTTAGAAATTCCTGCCAGTGGGCCAGGTGCTCAGCGTTGGAGTCAGTGCTTGAGTGTCCCCGTGCCTGCCTCAAAGGTCCTGGGGACAGGGAGTGGGTCTGCATGGGAGGGGGAGCAAGGTGACCGGGAAGCCTCCAGCAAGCCGGCCAGGCCCCAGGAAGATCCGTCGGGAGCGAGTGAGCAAGAGGAGAGTTGGCCCCTGGGCTCTCGAGTTGGGAAGATAAGAGTTCAGATCCCAACTCCACCTCTGAGTAATTGTGAACTCTTGGCCAAGTTTCTTAACCTGTCTGGGCCTCAGTGTCCTAGTCTATAAAATGGATTGTGGAACACCTGGTCCATGGGCCGCTGGAAGGATTCCATGAGACAGGGTGTAAAGCACGCAGGGAAGCAGTGCTGCTTTTGCTGTCCCCACCTGGAAAGCGGGTCAGGCAGGCGCCTCCCAGGCTCCTGGGCCAGCACCCTGGACCATTGCGCACGGCAAGCAAGCCTGGCCCAGCGGTTCTGCGTCTCAGGGTGGATGGGCGGGCCCAGGTGGTCCCAGTGTCCAGACACAGATACTTGGTTTCCTGCTCTTTCTTCTTCCTCAGAGAGGAAGACGACTGTGTACTCAGAAAACTAAAGTCACTGAGAAAGCACAAAGCAGGGCGTTTGGGCTTGCGCCTCCCACCTCCAGCCCCCCAGCCTCCCCAACCCAGAACTCACCAGAGATTGTTCATGGCTGTGGCTGTTACTCGGAGGTGTCTCTCCCTCCTCCGCTGGACTCTCTGGAGGCCGTGGGCCACGTCCACTTTGCCCGCCACTCCTTTCCATTCTCTGCAGGCAAGAAGGTTGGAAAAACGTTTGCTGAGGGAGCAAAGGCCTAAGTGTGTGGATGAGTAGAAGGAGGTCCTCACTTCTTCTGCCTCTCTCATCCCTATTTAAAAAAAATTTTGGGGGGCAAATTTATGGTTACTAGGGTAGGGGGGAGAGGAGAGGGAGGGATAAATTGAGAGCTTGGGATTGGCTTATTAAACTACTATGTACCAAACAGATAAAAACAAAGTCCTAGTCTATATCACAGGAGATTATATTCTATGGCTTGTAGTAACATGTAATGAAAAAGAATATGAAAAAGAATATATATATATAAAACTGAATCACTATGCTGTAACCAGAAACTAATACAATATTGTAAATCAAAAAATAAAAATTTAAAAAATTTAAAAAATTTTTTATTGACGTATAGTTGATGTACAATATTATATCAGTTACAGGTGTACAACACAGTGCTTTACAATTTTTTAAAGGTTATACTACATTTGTAGTTATTATAAAATGTTGGCTGTATTCCTTGTGTTGTACAGTATTTCCTCATAGCTTATTTATTTTATACATAATAGCTTGTACGTCTTAGTCCCCTACTCCTATATTGACCTTCCCCCCCTTCCCTCTCCCCACTGGTAACCACTAGTCTGTTCTTTTTTGTTATATTTACTAATTTGTTGTATTTTTCAGATTCCACATGTAAGTGATATCATACTTGTCTTTGTCTGACTTCTTTCACCTCACTTGGCACAATACCCTCCAAGTCCATCCATGTAGTTACAAATGGCATAATTTCATTCTTCTTATGACTCAGTAGTATTCCATTGTGTATATATATATATACACACCACCTCTTCTTTATCCATTCATCTGTTGAGGGACACTTAGATGGCTTCCATACTATCCCTATTTAAGGACAGGAAACACGCATGTTCAAAGGGTGGGCTGTGGCCATGCGTCCAGCCCCACATCACTCCCAGCTCTCAGACCTGCCCTCACCACCTGTCCCACCACTTCCCCCTGCCTCCTGATACTGGATACCAGGATACCGGGAGATGGGGCTGCCCAGGTCAGCAGGAGGTTGCAGGAGGCAGAGAATGATGGGGATCCCGTGGGCAGGGGCCATGCTAAGCTCTGCATTTGGACATGGGGCTAGTATTGTCTTTGTTTTTTGTTTTTTAATTGAAATATAGTCAGTTTATGATGTTGTGTCAATGCTCTTTCTGAGTGCACTTTCTGGAAGTTGCAAACTGTTGAATGAGCATCCTCTGTTCTCGATCCCTCTCATGCAGATTTAAAAAAAATCACCAGTGTCCCATTTCTCTCTAGGACCTTGTTCCCCCTCTAGTGGGGCTGGGCAGCTAGGAGCGCGCCTGCTGCAGTCCCCTCCACGGCCAGGCCTCGTTCATGCCTGACTTGTACGCTCTAAGATGTCCCTCCCAGAAGGGCCTCTCTCTCTGGCTAAAACTCTCCCACTGCCCCTCTGTGATCACTGCCAGTGCCCAATTAATATTCTCGTCTGGCAAGGGGGAGAAATCCGGGAAAAGGACACTGGTGTTTATTTAGCACCTATTATGTGTCAGACACTGTGTTAAGCACTTCGTAATCAGCATGTCCTCGAGGTGGTTGACATAACTGTCCCCACTTTACAGGTAAGAAAACTGAAGAAAAGAGATACTAGACAATTTTCCACATCACGTAGTTGGTAAGTGGTAGGACTGGGGTTTGAATCCCAGGGTGCAGGATGCCTCCGCCTTTGCTCTTTCTGTGCCATTCAGCGTCGTCACTAAGCAACCTCACACAGTAACTCATGTGGATGAACTAACTGCTGGGACCATGGCCTGAATCCTTTCTTTCCTGGTACCAGTGTCTTCTTGGGTGATAATGCCATTCATTTCTTCAGTTATTCATCCAACAAGTAGATACTGAGAACCTCCTGTGTACCAGGCTCTGGTCTAGTAGCTGGAGATAAAGGGGTAAAGTGAGTCCCCTCCAAAGAACTTATAATACAGTTGAGAGGCAAGCACTAGATGGATAAGCGCACGACTCAGTTAATTGACTGATTATCACTGTATTAAGCGCTATTAAGAAAACGTACACGGTGCTGGGAAAAGCTTATCTGGGAGAATCAAGGAAGGCTTCCCAGAGGAGGAGAAATTACTCCCATTTTTGCTATCAACCAGGCAAGTGTCTCGAAAAGCAGAAATTTGGGGTGAGGACAACCCCACAGTGGGGAGAGAAGCGCCCTAATTGCCCATTTCCGACAGAAGTGGGCTGCTCAGGCATCGTCCAGCTCCCTGGTTTTAGCTCTGAAGGGAGTAACAGGCACGTTCTGAAATACCGAAGGAAGGAAAAACCCACACCAGGGCAGAATCAGGGCTCTCTTGGCACCAGCCCGCCAGCGTGGCAAGGCTGCTTCTGTTGGGTCTGTATTTTTCCTGGAGCCTGAGGGATTGTCTCAGTGACCCTCACACGCCACTCCACCAGGAGTGGAAAATCACTTGTTGAAAACATAAACAGAGCTTATGGTAATTGGCAAGAGACAGCTAGTCACCATTCTCTCTCCCCTTGCCCTTGCTCTGGTCCTGTTTGTGAGACGTACTGTCTGTGTTTTCTATCACATTTTGCTTCGCTCTTGAAAACAGAACAGCTCCTATCAGTCCTTGACTAACCCATGTGGAATCCCTCTGTGTCACAGGCCGCAGAGCAGCCCCTTCGGTGAGGTGACAGTACAGAGAAGAGAGAAGCAGGGGACAAAGCCAGGCTTCCCCAGCCCCTCCCTCCATCCCTGAAAGCGTTGGTTTCTGATGTGGTAGGACAAGGCCCCTTGGCTTCCCTCCTCCCCACCGAGTGAAAACTGCCAGGATTCCTCTCCTGCCACATCCTGAAGCCTCCCCCAGAGTTGTTCTGGGCACGCTGAACGTCAGGTCACTGTTCGTTTTTGTTCCTTGAAAGGTAGGAGCTAGCCAGAGGCACACAGGTGATGTTCAGCCCCCTTTCTTATCAGTGAGCTATATGGGGTACTCCGGGCTGCATAGAGGAAACAGCAAGACGTTTTCCACAGAACCCTAGACAGGAGCAGTAGTCTCCAAATGCGTCCTCCACAAGCAGGGCGTCCAGCCGGGTCCAACACGGGCACGCGCGCTCCCCCTGCCCTCTCAGCCCTGACTGCTCTGGGACCGTAAGGACTCAGGAGACCACAGCTGCTCCTTCCACCGCGACTGACAGCGCCTGGGCTTCCAAGCAGCCAGCCGTCCTGAACTTCAGTTCAGTCCCAGGAAGGGAACAGGGTGACTCAGGTTGGGTTCTTGGTTTCTAGAAGACTTCCTGGTGACCTTAGCTGACTTAGGCTCCCCCACACGATGCTTCCTGACCTGGTGAGACAACAAAATATTAACCCATTGGCTGGTCCAGTTGTCTTGTTTCCAAGGTCTCGAGTGGCTGTTTGGATCTAGCCTCTTAGGACTCCTGTCTCTTCTTCTTGGCTTGGACGCTCATTCACACTTCTGCTTTTAGCAATCTTTCTAATCTATAAGCCTCAATATCCACGGCTATAAATTGGACTTTACCCTGAAGATGAATGAATTTTGCCAAGTGTTCCATTTCTGAATTGAAAGATATAAGGACTGCCCGGTCATCTGTCCCAGTAGTTACCCTGTGGATGCCTTTGGTTTTCCTCGGGACCATTTCTTCATACCTCAAGGGGCTATCTTTTCTGTTGGTGACTTTACAGATGGGGGTAGGGGTGGGACAGGGAAGTCTCATGAGATCTTAAGACAGGAAGAATTGATGGCAGGTTGTCTGCCCTACACCCCAGCATACTGTGAAATCGGCCCAAGTTTAAGCAACCATCTGATGTGTCTTCTCAGCCCTCAGGATCTGGAGATTTGCAAGAAAAATTGCTTTTGGGGGGAAGGGAGACTTAAGTCTCCCTTTTTCCCTTGCCTTCTATACCTGGCCAATCTTTGTGGTCTGTAAGTATCCAGGAAGAGCTCTAGAATTCTGTTTATGGATCCTTCCTCCTTCTAAAAAGGATATGCGTGTGTGTGTACAGATACATTTGACTAAGTTATTAGCAGGGGAACTGATGACTCTAAACAACAAAAGACATAGTGTCCTGGGACTGACTCTTGAGGCCTCATGTCTTCTGGGCACTTTCCAGCTCGCAGTGAGAAGGGCCCTGTGAGGATCAGACTTTTGGTTACATCCAGCCTCTTCGAAAATGAAAATTCACTGTTTGGAAATTGACTCATCCTTTCCCAGAGAAGAATGGAATGGACCACTCTGTAGAGCCACGTCAAGGGGACATACCAAACACACTGGGCATAAAAGACTTTTCTCGAAGCGGACTTGTGTGTCTTGTTTTCTGCTCTAGCGTTTGCCATATTATGCATTTGAGATCACTGGCGAGTTCTACTTCCTTTTTGCTTGAGAAAGTTAAGAAGACTGACTGTCTGTTGAAGTACAGGCGGAATTGGTTTGTAATCAACTCCCAGTGATAGACAGATCTGCACTATTAGTAGGACGTCTCTGAGACTTGCCACAGATACCAGAAGTTTTCTTCAGTTCAATAAAAATTGAGCCGAAGTCTATCACTGACCATTCATTCTAGGTCCACTCTTCAGAGCTGCAGGGAATTAGCCTCCCCACCCCCTACCCAACGCCGCCCCTGGATATTGGAGACAGTCATGGTGTGTCCTGAAAACCTAAGTGCTCTTCTCCAGGACGGCTATCATCCACGGAGTCCAAACCACTTAGAAAGGGCTCCTTCCGGTTTTCTTCCTGACCAAGGACTCTTGCTGCTGGGCGGGATCGGGGCAGGGGGTGTGCGGCCGGCTCCAGGATCTCTCTGCTGGGATTCCAGCCCTGCTGAGCAGACTTCATTCCTCTTCCACCAACTCTAATGCTTCCTCTCCTCACTGCAAATAATTGAGAATTGATTACACGGCCTTAATAACTGGACTGTTTGGAGGCTGGGGGTTCTCAGCTCCATCTCTGGGTTTCTGTGAAAGAGCCAATTAGGATAAAAGTCTGCAGCAGAAACGTGAATGCAGGGAGACAGAAGTGTATAAGGACTCTTGGATCAGGATGCAACACCTAAGTAAGGAAAAGAGGAGATTCTGGGGGTGCCCTTAGTCCACAGAGTTTGTAGTTAGCAGGAGAATGGAGCAGTGTTCTTTCTCCCTTGAATCATTTTGTTGGGGTAGTGGTGAATGTTCTGACACAAATGCTCAGAAATTCAGGCCCTTGACCAAGGAGATTCTTGAGAAAAGAGCAGTCCCACATTAACATGGGGCCATGGTCTGGCTGTTAATTGCCCTTCAAAGCCTTCAAATCAGCA